ATATATGGCTAACAATATCATAACTTGCTTTTCCTTCGATCCCCAATTTAACACAAAAGCTCATCCAGTTTTGACGTGTGTGATATATGCCCATTACCAATGTGTTCAAGTTTTGTTTGATTTGCATGCAGCTTGGAATTGATTCAATACTTAAGTATTGCACTATTCTAGTGTGATTTTCTGCAGAGGGTTATCGATGTCGGCTTCGTGCACTTAAACCTTGAGTAGAGACAAGTCCCACCAGTTTGATGCCAAATTTGGGTAGCGGCGAGAGGAAGTCAAACAGGAATTTTTTTCTTCCCCCCATAACCAAGAGATGGGCATAATTAGCTACTTGTTGTCGTCCAGGGAAGAGCTCTCTTTGAAAAATCCAAAGCAGTCTTCTGCAGGTCGCGTTGAAGATGATCCGATCAAAGGAGGACTAAAAACCCTAATTGATCCTTCTCCTCATGCTCCCCGCATTGTGCATTCCTGTACCGGCTATACTGTCTCCACAGCATGGAAGCCGTCGCAGCCACCGTCGATGTTTCGTTCTCGTGTGACGGACGATGTTATTGGGACGGAGAGTGGTGATTACACGAGCTCTAGCGTGGAAGATTTAAGAGGCGCGGTGGACAAAGCTGAACCTCACCGAAATCGTACCAGGTCCAGACACAGGAAAACTGAAGAGGGAGTTTCCACGGTGCATACCGCTGCTGACACACAGGGGTGGAATGCCGTGGGTTGTGAGGAGGGAGAACATTGGCGGAAGGCTTATCATGAGAGCGGAGAGGATGGAGCGTGGGGAATGTTTTGAAGCTCACCGACTGAATGGTAGGCTGACTATGAAGCTCGTCCCCCGAGGAGACGACGCCGTTTACTGTGAGGATTGTGGTCATCCCATCACCGACGGGCCAGCGGAGTCGGAAGATGATCCGGATACGAAACGAGAGAGTGAGGAGCTGCGTAAGTGCGTCGCGTGGGAGGAGGGGCTGGTTCGGGATTTGGACCCGTTCTGGAAGGGCCAAGGCATGGAAGGGCCCAGCGGCTGTTTGGGGCCAAGTTCGACTCCTCTTCGGCCCATGACTACCGTCATCTAGCCGACTTTGTGCTACGAAAACAAAGCTCAACCAGCGGTAGTTTTTTCCCGTGCTAGCCAAATTGTATGGGGGAGAGTTCTGCACCATTGTTCTTCGAGCTCAATAAATTCATTACTTTTATTTTTTTTTCTTGTTTTAAATGAAAACTAGTCTGTTTTATTGATTCTCATGATCCTTCTTCAATGGCTGCCTGGTGGCCGCAAGAACATTTTCTCCCCGGTGCAACGGGAAACTACTCTCTTCATCCTTAACAGTGTGGTTTAAATGAAGTTTTGGGACGACTTAAAAACGGTACTTCCTGACTCCCTTCATTTCAAACATGAGGTATTTTTAACTGAAACACACCGATTGAGATTGAAACTAACCGTTAAAATACTTGAAACATAATTCTTTCCCTGCTTTGATTTACTTTCATTTAATTGTTGGCAAAAAAATTATTTGCATTTAATATTAATCATTAATCACTGCTCTTGAAAAAAAATTGTAAAAAAACAATTTTAATATTTTTACAGAGATTCTTTTGTCAAAAACTACATTCACTATCCTTTAAAGATCGTAAAATTACTTGTACACTGAGATGTGAGGATTTTTAAAAGTACTCATCTTTCTATTTTTCGAAATCTAAAAATGACATAAGTGAAATTTCGTTCTTCCAGGTTCAAGCCCATACTTCTATAGCGGGGACATTGAAAACCAATTCAATGATAAAGAAATTAAGTGGAGAGACAAATTAACTGAGACATTATTTTTTTTCTATTTCAAGCTCATTCCGCGCTTGGTATGTGCCATTATTAAAATTTTGTTGACTATAATCCACTAATTATTTTCTTTTTCTAAATATAAATCACATGTAGAATAACTAATAACATTTTTTAATTATATTCCTATTAAATACAATGAAAAAAATAATTGAGAGAATATGCACAACATATTTTTTAATTTTTAAGAGAATCTTAAAAAAAAGTTTAAAATTACTAAACTTCGTAACAATTTTAGTTCCAACACTTGAGTATGTTTTTACAGCACAAGATTTATAAATTACAACACATTTTTAAAGAATTTTTTATTTAATATTTAGTAATTTTAAATCTTTTTATAATATTATTTTAATAGGGACACGTGTGAAAAATTTTATCACTTTGTTAACCCAAATGTGGTTTATTTAAGAAAGAATTATAATGAAATTCTAAAATAAAAAAATAATTATAAAATAAACTTTACAAATTATTATTTTTTATTTTGAAACTTAGTTATTTAGATTGTTGCTGAGATTTTATAGTATTTTTTTTTTTAATATTTCATTGTAACTCTCCCTTATTTTAACGCAAAGAATGGAGATATTTGTTGACAGCTGGACAAACTGCGAGGGACAACGACGCCGAGGAGAGGACAGGTGAAGAACGATGAGCATTAAAGATGATAATAATACTTCCTTCGGAGGTGTGGAGGAGATGGGAAGAAGACAAAATTCTTGGAGGACTTGATTCACGGGAAGAATCTGAGCGACTGAGCCTGTCCGTAGAGACATGGACAAAGGGCAGTCACTGGTCAGTTTCTTTGGGCTTGGACCATCTTTACTTACTCCAAAAAAAAAAAGACGATAATAATAAAAGAAGAATTGTAATCAAATTCCACATAAAAAAAATAATTACCAAAAAGTTCTAATAACAACCTCAACAGTTTATAATGAGAATAACAATCTTAGAGACTTATTTTTTAATTATTTTTCTTACTTAAGACCTTATTGTAATTCTTCCAATAATAAAAGACATCAAACCATAACAGATTAAAGTTACTAAATATTTCTTCCATCCTCAAATTTAAGTCTCTATTTTTTTAAAAAAATAGATACATCCAGAAAATGTCAAAATTTACGTAGTATGTAATTTTCTTTTCCCTTTCATGTAAGAACTATTCATTTTTAAAGATCTAAGAGTGCCATAGGTAATAATAAAGATTTTTCGCATTTAATTAAATATTATCATTCACGGACACGATACAAAACTTAAGAAGTTATATACACATGTATTTGATTCGTGAATGGTAATTTATTAGTCAGACCTTATAACCTAATTACATGATGCCCTTTTAAATTTTTTTTTAAAAAATGTGATGTAGGGAAAAAAACGGTGTTGCTTATAAAAAAGGTTTTTTTTCCCCTGTTCATCAACATCAACCTATATCAATTACTTAGTGAGAAATTCTGACTCTTCATCATGAATTTCATGTTCTTCTTTTTAAGATATATATATTTTTATGTTTTCCCCTAGTTTTTTAGAATATAGCTTAAGGAGTACTTTGTAAGTTTTTAAAATTATACTACCTTTAATCTTAATTATAAGAGCCAGTTGATTAATTTAAGAGATTAAGAAAGTAAGTTGAGTTAGTTATTTGTCCTAAATAGGTTGTCTTTCTTAAAATATCCTTGCTGATCAAGTGTATTACTAAAACTATTATTGTTAGAAAGACTACTTTTAAAAAAACATATAAATATGATAAAAAAATACATTAAAGTTATATATTTAAAATTAAAATAAAATTTTATATTAAAGACCGAAAGTAATATATGGTGTCTTTTCAGGGGAAAGAAACCATGAAGTGGGTTGACTGGAAGTAATCGATTGTGGTGTAGAAGCAAGTCAGCGGAGATCCCGACGGGCGAAAGAAAACGTGTTGCACGAGCAACGCATCATACCGTAGAATACACCGAGCCAAACCCGTCTCCAATGATATCTGCCCCAACGCCTATTGAATCACATGCAGAGAAGCCAGGTTGTGCTTAAATAATTTTTCATTAAATTTAAGTATTTTTCTTAAGCCTGAAAAAAGTATTCATTTATTTTAATTAAAATATCAAAATTTCGTTTTTTTTTTCCCTTATTCGATTTTCCTTAAAGTACTGGGCATCAGCATTTTTTCCCCCACTCAAAACAGAGTATGTACAGAATCTCATATTCTCATTAAAACATTATTTAGTTTTTTTGTGCAATCATTTTAAAACACTTACATGAACGAGATTATTAGCAATATTTTTTATTGATTTTTTTGTATTCGATAAATAAAATACAAAGAAGTTGTTAAAAATTACTGATAAAATATTAAAAAAAATATGTTGCGAGTCATTAGTCAACGACATTAATGATAGAAAATATACTTTACATATGTATAATTGGGTTTGCAAATTAGTGACAATAAATTGAAAAATGTTTTTATTTTATTAAGATTTGGTAAAAGATGTGGTGACCCCGCTGATCACCTGCTTGAGTGCCAAAGCGGCAAAGGAGAGCGTTGAATCATCAGTAAGTGTGAAGTTTTCTTAAGATTACATTATTCACAAGCTCAAGCGACGGGTGATGTAATTTTACGTCACTTATCTTCACAGTGTAATCCATGTTTTAATATTTTTTCATAAAATTTAGACATTTAAAATTAAGTAGCATATATTTTCCAAACAAATTTTAAAAGTTACTTCTTTTGTCTTATTTACAGTCTAGAAACAAAAAATATTTTCTGATTCTATTTATAAGATATTGAGAAAATTTTTTTATATAGATATATAATTTTATTCTTTATTTATTATTGTATTGCCTTTATTTAATATATATTAAATAGAGATAAAATTTAAAAATTATTAAATTTTAAATTTTTTTAATCTATATAAAATATGTTGAAAATATTACGTAATTTATAAATATAATTAAAAGCGTACTTCTTTACCTTTATTAAAATATCTAGTGACGGTCGTCTGGGTCGAAACGATGGGAAAGATAAGCTGACTGTTGAATTGCAAATCGTTTATGAATGACATGACAACGTTGATGATGAGGGAGCCAGGTGTTCCTAATTATCCCAAGTAGGTCCCACTGGAAAATTGATAGCCCACCTCACCAGAAGCCCCCTTCATCCTCCCGCACCTCCTCGGACATGGCCATTCCCACGCCAATTTCCCCCCGCCATTTCAATTACAAAGCCTTTCACATCTTTCCCTTCTTTACCAGGTTGGATTATGTTTTACTCTTTCTTTCTCCTCTTTTTCCTTTTGGAATTTCCACTTCCCTTCTCCTTTTTCAGTTTTCTCTATTTTAATTTTGCTGCCTGTCTTTCACTGTTCCTCTGTGTTTCATTCTTGGTATCTCCCGTTTCTTCCTCCTCTTTTCCTGGTGATTTGAAGTGAATTTTAATTCTGGCTTCTTGGTAATTGGACTTGCGAGTGTAATTTACTGTCAAATGTACACTCCGTTCCAATATTGAATCTTGTCTGTCAGTTTCCCAACGTCAATGTTTCCCGTCGAGAACAGTTTTTTTTTTCCTTCCTTTTTTTTCCTTTCTTTTCACTGATTCAGTGCGCCAATTACTTATACTGCGTTAGTCAAGTTTTAGCTGAGCCCAGGTCGATGTATGAGGAATAGGGAATAGGGGGAGGAGAGAACTCCACTGTTGCTAGGGAGGTCTGTTATTTTTGCTTTGGTTGAAGTGGTCTGACTTTTCTCACCGACCACGACGGGCTGAAATTCTGAAATATTATGTTGGTTACTTTTGGCGACAGATCGCGACTACGTGGTCTAGGATCTATATCTTCTGATGGAGCGAATGATTCTTTTGTTCTTCTCCCTTCCTTTAACTGTTTTGGAGGGCCTGAAGGGCTGATTTTTCTGGCTGTGTCATTTCGAGGAGTTTAAAATCTGTGGGAGAGTTTTTTGTCTTCGTTCTTGAACCTTCATGGAGGGCTCATATGGATACGTTGATCACTACTTCCTATGATTTGCAACTTGCAATTTTTTATCATTTTGTTTTTACTAATTTTGAATCTATTACTGTTGGTATGTGCTTGTAGTTATACGATTATGTGCCCTTTTTCCAACCTCCCCCCCCCCCCCCCCCCAAAAAAAACCAAAAAAATAAAAAAAATGAAGGGGCAGAAAGGGTCTTCTAAGTTGGGTACTCTCATTTTGAGTTGAATTAGAACAAAAGGTTTGAAAGTTTACTCAAAGTTCGTATCTGGACATCTTTTTAGAATTCTTATACCTGCAACTATTTTACTTAGAACGGTATCTAAGTTTGATACTGTCAAAAAAAGTTGCGTTAATTTGATCACTGGAACCTCTGGGTATGTGTGCCAACGCTTTTTGGTTCATATATGTTGCTCATCTTCTCCATCGATATAATGAAGCTCTTGTACATTGGCCCCGTATTTTTCCAGCATTGGACCGAAAGTCAAGTTACTATAATGATGATTGCTTTGTTTTCATGCAGACATTGAATTTTGCCTATTATGGGTTCTTTTTTCAGTATGGCGAATGCCAAATCCGATAGGAGTGAGGGTGACGAGGCCTTTCAGAATGAGATCTGCAAGAGGAGAAGAATGTTATCTAGCTTTGATGAGGAGAGTCCAAGATTAATTCCAAATCTTCCCGATGAATTATCACTTCAGATTATCGCCAGAGTTCCTAGAATTTGTTACTTAAACATGAGGTTGGTCTCAAGGAAATGGAAGACTACTATCATGAGTTCTGAATTATATAAGTTAAGAAAAGAACTTGGAACAACTGAAGAGTGGCTATATCTGTTGATCAAGGTTGGAGAAAACAAGCTTATATGGCATGCCCTGGATCCTCGTTCCCAAAAATGGCAGAGACTGCCTGCGATGCCCAATTTTGTTAATGAAGAAGAATCTAGAAAGGGTTCTTCTAGGCTTTGGATGTGGAACATGGTGGAAGGTATTAGAATTGCTGAAGTTATAAGAGGTTTGCTGGGACAGAAGGATGGATTAGATGAAATGCCCTTTTGCGGCTGTGCCATTGGAGCTGTCGAGGGATGTCTCTATGTTCTTGGTGGATTCTCTAAATCTTCAACCATGAGATGTGTTTGGCGATACGATCTGATAGAAAACAAATGGAGCAAGGTGACCTCGATGTCTACAGGTAGGGCATATTGCAAGACAGGCATCTTAAATAACAAACTTTATGTGGTCGGAGGGGTTAGTCAGGGTCAAGCTGGATTGATTCCCCTTCAGTCTGCTGAAGTTTTTGATCCCTCTACAGATACATGGTCCAATGTACCTAGTATGCCTTTCTCAAAAGCTCGAGTCCTGCCCACTGTCTTTTTGGCTGACATGTTGAAGCCTATTGCCACAGGATTGACCTCCTACATGGGAAGGCTATGTGTCCCACAAAGTTTGTATTCATGGCCCTTTTTTGTTGATGTGGGCGGAGAAATCTATGATCCTGAAACAAATTCATGGATGGAAATGCCTAATGGAATGGGTGAGGGTTGGCCTGCTCGGCAAGCAGGTACCAAATTGAGCGTTGTGGTGGATGGTGAATTATATGCTTATGATCCTTCTAATTCTCTGGAAAGTGGAAAGATCAAGGTATATGATCAAGGAGAAGATGCATGGAAAGTAGTTATCGGAAAAGTCCCCGTATATGATTGTGCAGATTCAGAGTCTCCGTATTTGCTCGCTGGTTTCCATGAGAAAATTCACGTCATTACAAAAGATGCTAATCATGACATTGCTGTTCTTAAGGCTGACCTGCGCAGTAATTGGGATTCTTCTCCTTCAATCTCCTCCCTTTCGCCCATCTGTGGTCATGAAGATCCAGAACCAGGTGCTGAACCTGATGCAGTTGTTTGGAAGGTAGTTGCCAAGAAAGACTTTGGTCCAGCTGAATTGGTCAGTTGCCAAGTGATTGATATTTAGTTAATTCCAAGTATGAAATTCTATAATATATTAGTTTACTGGAAGCTAAATGAACACACGACATGGTTGCTAGTTCATTTAGACGAATGTTTTAGTACTTGTATGTATCGTATAGGCAGTTCTATGGAAATTACCACCTACGAGGTTACGACTGTAACGTGCTTGTTGCTGGTTTAGATTTACTGCGAAAGGAAGGGAGAAATGAGATGGGTTCATTCTCTCCAGAATTAACGTTCAAATAATGTCGTCATCAAGCTGGTTTTGATATTTATTCCGGTGGTTGTGGCATATGCTGTAGGCATTTTTGGGGACAAATTCATGCCTATATTCATTTTACGCACAACTTAATTGCAACTCTGATAAAATTACAATAAAAATAGGAAAAAAAGATATATGGATTTGTGAAATTAATTATTTGTTTAAAAAGAATTTATATTTTTATGTTTTAAGTGGTAACGCGGAAAAAATATATAGGGAGAGTATGTATATTTTTTAAAATGGTTTTTCTTGTGTCCTACAAAAATCTGCAAGAAAAAAGTGTATAACGAAAAGATAATGAAATTCTTGATTCATCTAATTCATTTGCACTCATATTATGCCCGATTTGCTTACATGCCACTTTCATACTCACAGGAAAAAAAGAATTTTTCATTCTAATTATCAGGCATATCATTGTTTTTTGACCAAATAGTTTTTTCTTTTATTCTCCATTAAATGTCGGTGCATGTTATTTAATTTTGAAAGATATATATTTAATAGAAGCAAAGTTTAAAACTATTGAAATTTTAGATATAATTAATAAAACAATTTGGGAAAATGACAAATAAAGACCCTTGAATATATAAAATGACAAAATGGGACCCTGAATTAACAAAATTGCTACCAAAGACCGGGTCCTAAATATGAATTATGAAATGTTGGGCAAAAGTCAAAAATGCCCATTTGCTTCTTTTTTTTTTCCAATATCTTTTCTTCTTCTTTTCCTCTCCCTCTCTTCGTCTGTCTCTTTCCTACTCCCTTCTCCTTCTACCCTAAGCCCATTTCCTCATCCCCACCCCCATATCTCCCGATTCTCTCTTCTCTCTTCTTTCTCTATCATCTTCTTTGTTGTTGTGTCCGTCTTCTTTATTTCTTCTCCCAAAGCAAGTAAATGATGGGACTAAGATGAAGGATACCAAGACAAACAAGAATCAAGCTCAGCAAAACTTCTATTGGACATTGTCGAAGCCCAGCTCAGGTAAGGAATTGGGTTCCCTTTTGTCACCGAGTTCTGGGTTGAAATTGAAGATAGTTGCGGTGGCGACGGCGGGCACTGCTAGTAGGAAGGAATCGTTCTCATCTTCTGTATCGGATGCTCTCCATATATTGTAGCTTGAGATGAAAGTGTATCATCTTTTGATTCACTCTTTGTTGAATCCATACCCAAAGAGGTGGATTCGAATATTGTCTTCTTTGTTCTGTTCTTCCCCTTGATTCATTGATTGGTTTGTAAGTAGAGAACGAAGCTAAACACAGAGGGTTCCCCTTTAATGTTCTTTGATTTGTTCTTTGAGTTTATGTTCTCTTTATTCATAAATGAATGGCAATGTGTGAGTTCAATGATAAGCTTTATTTTGTTGGGAAGTTTTTGGAGTGTGGACAAACTGAACTTTTATATTCCTTCTATCTTTTGTTTTTTAAAAAATATATAAACAATTGAAGTCAAGGGCAATGCAAAAAGGGTAACGAAGTGGACTAGAAAGCATGAGCTGTGCATTTTTCATCTTGTATGAAAACTTTATCGGAACTTATCATTGGTCTTACTTAACTAGTAATTGGTCTAACTGAACTTGTCATGAATCTTATATCAGAAGTGCCTGCTGTCAAAGAAATATGCATATTCTTATTTCAACAGAGAAATTTAAAATCGTATGAAAACCTTATCAGAACTTGTCATTGGCTTTACTTAACTTGTCATTGGCCTAACTAAACTTGTCGTGAATCCTATATCAGAAGTGCTTGCTGTCAAAGAAATTTGCAAATTCTCATTTCAACAGAAAAATTTAAAATTATATGAAAACCTTATCGGAACTTGTCATTGGCTTTACTTAACTTGTTATTGGTCTGGCTGAACTTGTCATGAATCTTATATCAGAAGTGCTTGCTGTCAAAGAAATCTGTATATTCTTATTTCAACAGAGAAATTTAAAATCGTATGAAAACCTTATCAGAACTTGTCATTCTTTACTTAACGTGTCATTGGCCTAACTGAACTTGTCATGAATCCTATATCAGAAGTACTTGCTGTCAAAGAAATCAGCAAATTCTCATTTCAACAGAGAAATTTAAAATCGTATGAAAATCTTATCAGAACTTGTCATTGGCTTTACTTAACGTGTCATTGGCCTAACTGAACTTGTCATGAATCCTATATCAGAAGTGCTTGCTGTCAAAGAAATCAGCAAATTCTCATTTCAACAGAGAAATTTAAAATCGTATGAAAACCTTATCAGAACTTGTCAAAACCTTAACAGACAAGTTACGTAAAACCAATGACAAGTTCCAATAAGGTTTTCATACGATTTTAAATTTTTCTGTTGAAATGAGAATATGCAGATTTCTTTGACAGCAAGCACTTCTGATATAAGATTCATGACAAGTTCAGCCAGACCAATAACAAGTTAAGTAAAGCCAATGACAAGTTCCGATAAGGTTTTTATACAATTTTAAATTTTTCTATTGAAATGAGAATTTGCAAATTTATTTGACAGCAAGCACTTCTGATATAGGATTCACGACAAGTTCAGTTAGGCCAATGATAAGTTAAGTAAAGCCAATGACAAGTTCTGATAAGGTTTTCATACGATTTTAAATTTCTCTGTTGAAATAAGAATGTGCATATTTCTTTGACAGCAGGCACTTCTAATATAAGATTCATGACAAGTTCAGTTAGACCAATTACTAGTTAAGTAAGACCAATGATAAGTTCCGATAAAGTTTTCATACAAGATGAAAAATGCACAGCTCATGCTTTCTAGTCCACTTCGTTACCATTTTTGCATTGCCCTTGACTTCAATTGTTTATATATTTTTTTAAAAACAAAAGATAGAAGGAATATAAAAGTTCAGTTTGTCCACACTCCAAAAACTTCCCAACAAAATAAAGCTTATCATTGAACTCACACATTGCCATTCATTTATGAATAAAGAGAACATAAACTCAAAGAACAAATCAAAGAACATTAAAGGGGAACCCTCTGTGTTTAGCTTCGTTCTCTACTTACAAACCAATCAATGAATCAAGGGGAAGAACAGAACAAAGAAGACAATATTCGAATCCACCTCTTTGGGTATGGATTCAACAAAGAGTGAATCAAAAGATGATACACTTTCATCTCAAGCTACAATATATGGAGAGCATCCGATACAGAAGATGAGAACGATTCCTTCCTACTAGCAGTGCCCGCCGTCGCCACCGCAACTATCTTCAATTTCAACCCAGAACTCGGTGACAAAAGGGAACCCAATTCCTTACCTGAGCTGGGCTTCGACAATGTCCAATAGAAGTTTTGCTGAGCTTGATTCTTGTTTGTCTTGGTATCCTTCATCTTAGTCCCATCATTTACTTGCTTTGGGAGAAGAAATAAAGAAGACGGACACAACAACAAAGAAGATGATAGAGAAAGAAGAGAGAAGAGAGAATCGGGAGATATGGGGGTGGGGATGAGGAAATGGGCTTAGGGTAGAAGGAGAAGGGAGTAGGAAAGAGATAGACGAAGAGAGGAAGAGAAAAAGAAGAAAAGAGATTGGAAAAAAAACAAGTAGATGGGCATTTTTGACTTTTGCCCAACATTTCATAATTCATATTTAGGACCCGGTCTTTGGTAGCAATTTTGTTAATTCAGGGTCCCATTTTGCCATTTTATATATTCAAGGGTCTTTATTTGCCATTTTCCCAAACAATTTTTAAGATTTTTTTTAATTTCAGTAAAATATGTTCAAAATGATTTATAAATCGGATAGGGTGGTATTAATTATAAAAGCATTTTTTGGTTGTTGGGAGGGATGCAAGAGTAAATATTTTTATTCAATAGGGTAAAAAATACAATACAAATGTATATATGATCATAAAAAATTATTCATTACAACCCTCGAGATTATCCATACCAGAGTCCACCCGGAGGATCATACTAAGAAGTTGGGACTCTTAGCATGCGATAGTAGTGATACACACTGAAGCATCGGCCGTTATTTCTCTAAGACAAGGATTAGTGAAGCTGACACCCTGATTAGAATTCCAAAGGAAACAGAGACTGAAATAGTCGGAGAGCAGGATTGATGAGATGCTGCCTCCGGTACTTAATACTAGCTCCCTTATTAAGTGTTAGTTTTATTTTTAATTTGATTCTAAATATAAAATTTTAATTTATTTTGTCAATTATATTTATTTAATTTTTTTAAAACAGTCATTATAGTAGTTGCATATATTACAGTGGTATCAAATAGTAATTTTAACTAATATATATAATTAGTTAGAATATTTTAGGAAAGACAAGACATATTTATTACAAATAACTAATTTAACCAATTTTTTTAATTTTCTCAAATTTTTTTAATCTCCTCATATTAGTCAATTGACTAATATGAGGAGATTAAAAAAATTAATTAAATTAATTATTTGTAATAAATAGGTATTGTCTTTTCTAAAATATTATTGTTAATCATATATATTAGCTAAAACTATCATATAATAAAACATTTAACATATACAATTACTATAAAAATCATATTAAAAAGTTAAATATAAAAAATAAAATTAATTAAACTTTTATATTTAAAATCAAATTAAATATAAAAGACGGCTTTTGTTACTGTAAAAAACGTGGGGATGTTTCAAGGACACTGATAAAGCCCAATTTTTATATATTTTATCCCACAATAATTCAGGATTTAAATGATAATTTTGAGCTTAATTAGACTTTTTATGCATTATTGAATAAATTGGTTGATTTTTGGATTTTGCATAAAAATTGAGATTTTGGATTGAAAATATAAATATTTTGTGCTTTCCTATTTTTGACTTGGAATTAATTTTTCCTATTTCTTTGAAAACAAGTCTCATATTTTTAGAAAGATTATTTTTAGAAAGTTTTGCACTTTCTTGCCTAATTTTTGTGCAGATTTAATATTTAATTTTTGATTATATTTGGATATAATCTACATTAATGGATGCACTTAAATTCTTGTAGGTCAAGAAAGGGGCACATAGGAAATCCAATGATGCAAGATTGTTTCTTGGAATCTAAGCA